AAATAGTTCAAGGACTTATTTGAAAATATTTTATGAAGGATTGTTAGTAATTATTAAATGAATTAAAGGGCAAAATGGTCATTTGACAAGAAAGATTTTTATTTCCTTTTATAAGATAAGGAAACCACGTGGGAAGAGGAAAAGGGAGTTCCAGAGTTCTCTTCTTCTCCTTTCTTCCTTAATACGAGAGAGAGACAGAGCAAAGGTGAGTTTCTTTGTTAGTTGATTATTTGTTGATTTTAAAGTTGGGTTATAATCTTTAAGTGATACTTAAGCTTAAGGAAAGCTTAAGTTGTCCTATAATCAAAAGATGAAGAAGTTATGATAAATTAAAAAGAAGAGACTTTTAAATGAATTTCTGATTATGAGTCAATAAATAAAGTTTGAGTTCGGAATTGACTTGCCATCAACTTAATTAAAAGATATGAAGTGATAGAATTGGATTTAAAACATATTGAAAAATTGGTATGATTTTTGATTTCTTTATGGAAAAAGGAATTTTAAGGTTTAAGATGTGATAAATGAGTATAAATTGGTTTAAGCATATGTACTTGAGTTAAGAATGAAAAATGGGAGGAAACATGAAGTGTTGAAGCTAAAAGGAGTGAATTTTCGTGCTGAAAATGTGATTTCTGGGCAAAGTGTATCGATACACATTCGATAGGTACCGATACACTCTTGAACGAAAAACATTGAATGTAATAAGTGTATCGATACCCCCTTAAAAATGAAAACTTCGAATGTAATTTGTGTACCGATACATAGGTAGTGTATCGATACACACGTTAAGGGATGTACCGATACATTATAGAGTGTACTGAAACTTACCTTAAATAAGAGATGAAAGTAGCCTTTCCTTTAGTCTAAGAAACAAAAGATTAGAATATAACAATTAGAGTATTGATATGGATCCATGTATAATTATGTAGATACTGAACGTAATCCCGTTCCGGAACAATAGAAGGATTAGGATCGATTCAAAGCAAACAAGGCTAAGGTGAGTGCAATATATAGGTATAATTTAAGGGAAATAAGACTTGCGATAAGTCTATTTCCTAGGTTAATTTCATAGTTTGATAGTTAGGAACATGCATACATTATGGTTTTTATAAAAAAACATGCATAAGTTATATATGTTTAATTATGATCGGATATATGTTATATGATTTATGTGAAAGTACTCCAATACTTATGTTACACGATATGAGATGAATAGTTATATGCACATATGAAATGTGATAGAAGAAAAGATATATGTGATTACATGGGAAATGAAATAAGTACATGCTTATATGAAATATAATATTAAATACCCATGTTGTGTGATATGAGAGCTTTAGGTATAGTTGGCATGCCAAGAGTCGAGGGTTCCATAGGTCATTCGGTACATATTCATAGGTTCTTAGGGTCAAATCTCATATGCCACTCAGTGGGACTTATACGAGCTGTGGTGACAACAAACGTGCACAACCTCCATGTACTCGAATACCTTAAGTTCTCAGTATATACATGTGCCTATAAATAATATGAAAATATGTGTAATGCCTTATAGGTTATCGTATTAGTATTGGTTATGAGGAATCATAGAAATGAAATGGAATTATGAATGTTAGTGATTATTTTATATAAATAGTATGTTACATGTTCATATTCATAAGAATTTCATTATTATGAGTTTATGCCTCACTAAGTCTATGACTTAGCGTGTAAGTGGTTTGTATGTAGGTATAAAAAAGCAAGAAGACCAATCTTAGGAGCAGAAGAGCAACATATTACCACTTGAAGATCAGATCATAAGCACCTTACACAGTATGTCTGTTTATGTAGTATAGATGTTGGCATGTAAATAGAGTCGTATAGTGTGTATGCTCTGACCAAGGTTGTAATGTTTTGAACTTATTTTGTATATAGTTTTTGTGTTAATAAAAGTTTAAATTTACTATGGTTTTTATAAAGATATGTGCTTTGAAAAGTCAATGTGACACCTTGGATTCATATCCGGGTCGGGTACGGGTTGGGGTGTTACATTTAATGGTATCAAAGCTAAGGTTTAGCCGATTCTAGGCATAAACCTGATTCTAGAGTGTCTTTAAATGTGTACATGCCAACATAGTAGTGATAACTTCTGATCTGGTATGAGTAATAAGTATGATGTTATGCTAATAAAGTTATTTGATCACATCTTATTAGATGTCCGGACAAGATAGCTCCTGAATTAAAGCAGGAGATGATAGATTAGTTGAGAGTAGTAATTCACCTGTCCTGACCAGGCAAGGTGAAGGACAAGCACCTTCTGGAGTGCCTGTACAAGACCAAGACGTCTTCTTCAAGACGTTGGCCGCAATCTTGATGTGTTTCCAACCTCCTGCTTCCTTAACGCAGAGGATGAATGTTGCAAAGGAGCTGAAATGATTAGGAGCTCCTGAGTTTAAAGGAGAGACTGAGGAGGGTCTAGTTGTTGCGGACCTTTAGCTTAATGACGTGAAGATTATGTTAGAGGGACTCCACTATTCTTATGTGGAGAATCTAGACGGAGTAGTCTCCTTGCTTCATGGGCAAGCGAGAATTTGGTGGATAAATGTCACCTTAAGGATGACCAGTGATCAAGTGACACAATCTCTGTTTTTGGAAAAATTTCGACACAAGTATATAGGAGACTAGTTCATCAAGAAAATGAATCAAAAATTCTTAAATTTAAAGCAAATGAACCACACTGTATATGAGTGTGAATTCAACAAGCTAAGTCGTTTTGCAGCAGAATTGGTACCTACAGAGAAAGATGCATACGAGTGGTTTGTTGAGGGCTTACGTCCAAGGTTAAAGGAGATATTGATTGTTCTAAATATGTCCTCGTTCCAAGAAGTAGTAAACCGTGATAAAGCTCTAGAGAGAGCTCAAAATGAACAGTTTGGGGAACCAAGATCTCAACCGTAAAAAAGAACTGGAGCTTCATCGAGTTCTGCACTACCCAAGAGATGTAGAGATTCTGGATTTCGATCTCAGGCGAGGACAAAATCTATGGCATCCTCTACTCGAGGATCAAATCAGATGAGAGCTAGACAGACTCAATCTGTAGGGTCTGGTAATGAGCAAGAACAACAAAGTCAAGTTCGACAGTGTCAGATTTGTGGAAAAAATCATAGTGGGATATGCAGAGTTAAAATTGGAGCTTGTTTCCGATGTGGGGAAATAGGGCATTTCATGAGAAACTGTCATGTGAAGGCCGGAGAGCTTGCTCAATCGGAAAGAACTACTTCATTGTCTCAGAGGGGACGAGGTAGAGGTAGATGAAGAAATCTTACAGAATCTTCTACTCAGCAGGAGGTACGTTCCACTGCTCGAGTGTATAACCTCAAAACCAATGAAGACTGGATGATCCAGAAAAAATAACAAGAACCTTTTTACTGTTAGATAAATGTGTTACGGTATTGATTGATCCGGGGTCTACCTATTTATACATTAGTAGTGAGTTAGTGAAAGAATTGAGAATTCCGTTAGAAGACACCAGTAATGAGGTTATAGTTACGAATCCGTTAGGGTACATTGCTCGAGTTAATAAAAGGTGTCAAGGGTGTCCCATACGGATTTAGGGAATTGAATTCCCTGCTAATCTGATGGAATTACCCTTTGACGAATTTGAAGTGATATTGGGAATAGACTGGTTATACCGTTATCGTGCGAATGTAGATTGTAAAATGAAGAGGGTAACATTAGTCAACTCAGATGGATTGGAAGTGGTAGTGTTCAATGAAAGATGAAATCCATTGGCAAACGTCATCTCGGTGGTGTCAGCAAAGAACTATTACTACAGGTATGTTAGGGTTTTATGGTTAATTTACTAGATACTTGGACCAAGGAGAAAGGGTTAGAAGAAATTCCTATAGTCAGAGAGTTCCCTGATGTTTTTCCAATAGAATTACCAAGATTACCTCCGGATAGAGAAGTGGAATTCCAGATCGAAATAATGCCTGGAACTGCACCTATTGCCATGGCACCATACAGAATGGCTCCAAAAGAGTTGCAAGAGTTAAAGATACATTTACATGAGTTATTAAATAAATGATTTATAAGACCGAGTGTCTCGCCATAGGGAGGGAGCTCTAGTATTTTTCGTCAAAAAGAATGATAGGTCAATGCGTCTCTGCATCGACTACAAACAACTCAATAAAGTAACCATTAAGAATAAGTATCCTCTCCCTAGGATTGACGATTTATTTGACCCGTTGAAGGGAGCTTCGGTCTTCTCTAAGATTGATTTACGATCGGGATATCATCAGTTGAAGGTTCAGGAGAAAGACATTCCAAAGACCGCATTTAGAATGAGGTATGGCCACTATGAGTTTATTGTAATGCCCTTCGGAGTTACAAATGCACCAGCTGCTTTCATGAACCTGATGAATCGAATATTTTAACCTTATTTAGACCAATTTGTAGTAGTATTCATCGATGATATATTGGTATATTAAAAAACGAAAGAAGATCATAGTGCACACTTGAGAATAATTTTGCGGATTCTAAGAGACAAGAAGTTATATGCCAAGCTATCCAAATGTGAGTTCTGGTTGAATGAAGTCATATATCTCGGACATGTGATTTCTGCGGAAGGAATTCGAGTAGATCCTCAGAAAGTAAAAGCTATTCTCGAATGGGAGGCTCCCAAGAATGTATCTGAAGTTCAAAGCTTTTTGGGACTTGCCGGGTATTATCGAAGGTTCGTTAAGAACTTTTCAATGATCGCTTTGCCTTTGACTAAGCTGATGAGAAAAGGTGTGACATTTTTGTGGACTCCTGAATGTCAAGAAAGTTTTGATATGTTGAAAAAGATTTTGACAGAAGCTCCAGTATTAGTTCAGCCCAAGTCTGGCAAGAACTTCGTAGTTTATAGTGATGCATCCCAAAATGGATTAGAATGTGTGTTAATACAAGAGGGCAAAGTGGTGGCTTATAAGTCGAGACAATTAAAATCGCACTAGAAGAATTATCCAACACATGATTTGGAGATGGTTGTAGTAGTGTTTGCTCTTAAGATCTGGCGTTACTACTTGTATGACGAACGATGTTACTTGTATACGTATCATAAGAGTCTGAAGTATCTAATGACTCAGAATGAGGTAAATTTAAGGCAAAGAAGATGGGTGGAATTTCTGAAAGACTATGATGTTGTAATAGATTTTCATCCTAGAAAAGCTGTGGTGGATGCTTTAAGACGAAAGACGTTTGCAGCCTTACAAGCCCTAGATGTTAGGTTGTCATTGAATAATGATGATGCTCTATGTGAGAAATTAACCCTTCGGACATCATGGATAGATAGAGTCAAGGAATTGCAAGCTATAGATGAAAAGTGTTTGAAGAAGTTGTAGCAAGTGAATAATAGAGAGCTTATTGATTATGAGATCAAAGCCGATAGGAATTTGTACTATCGAGGGAGACTAGCAATTCCAGATGATGAGAAGCTGAAAAATGAGTTGTTAACAGAAGCCCATTGTAGCCCATTGATAATGCACCCTAGAGGAAATAAAATGTATATGGATCTCAAGAGTCGATATTGGTGGTCGGGAATGAAAAGGAATATTATAGAATACGTATCCAAGTGTTTGACTTGTCAGCAAGTCAAAACTGAACATCAAGTTCCGTCTAGATTGTTGCAACCAATGTCGATTCCTCAGTGGAAACGGGTGAATGTAACTATGTGATAAATAAGTATAAATTGGTTTAAGGATATGTACGTGAGTTAAGAATGAAAAAGGGGAGGAAACATGAAGTTTTAAAGCTGAAAGAGTGAATTTTCGTGCTGAAAATGTGATTTTTGGGCAAAGTGTATCGGTACACATTCGATAGGTACCGATACACTCTTGAACGAAAAACATCGAATGCAATAAGTGTATCAATACATAGGCAGTTTATCGATATCCCCTTAAAAATGAAAACTTCAAATGTAATTTGTGTACCGATATATAGGTAGTGTATCGATACACACGTTAACAGATGTACCGATACACACGTTAAGAGATGTACCGATACACTATAGAGTGTACCAATACTTACCTTAAATAAGAGATGAAAGAAGCCTTTCCTTTAGTCTAAGAAACAAAAGATTAGAATATAACAATTAGAATACCGATATGGATCCATGTATAATTATATAGATACTGAACGTAATCCCGTTCTGAAACAATCGAAGGATTAAGATCGATTCAAAGCAAACAAGGCTAAGGTGAGTGCAATATATAGGTATAATTTAAGGGAAATAAGACTTGTGATAAGTCTATTTCCTAGGTTAATTTCATAATTTGATAGTTAGGAACATGCATACATTATGGTTTTTATAAAAACATGCATAAGTTATATATGTTTAATTATGATCGGATATATGTTATATGATTTATGTGAAAGTACTCCAATACTTATGTTACACGATATTAGATGAATAGTTATATGCACATATGAAATGTGATAGAAGAAAATATATATGTGATTACATGGGAAATAAAATAAGTACATGCTTATATGAAATATAATACTAATGCCCATGTTGTGTGATATGAGAGCTTTAGGTATAGTTGGCATACCAAGAGTCGAGTGTTTCATAGGTCCTTCGGGACATATTCACAGGTCCCTAGGGATAAATCTCATATGTCACTTAGTGGGACTTATACGAGCTGTGGTGACAGCAAACGTGCACAATCTCCATGTACTCGAATACCTTAAGTTCTCAGTATATACATGTGCCTATAAATAATATGAAAATATGTGTAATGCCTTATAGGTTATCGTATTAGTATTGGTTATAAGGAATCATAGAAATGAAATGGAATTATGAATGTTAGTGATTATTTTATATAAATAGTATGTTACATGTTCATATTCATAAGAATTGCATTATTATGAGTTTATACCTCACTAAGTCTATGACTTAGCGTGTAAGTGGTTTACACGTAGGTACAGAAAAGCAAGAAGACCAATCTTAGGAGCAGCAGAGCAACATATTACCACTTGAAGATTATATAAGAAGCACCTTACACAGTATGTCTGTTTATGTAGTATAGATGTTGGCATGTAAATAGAGTCGCATAGTGTGTATGCTCTGACCAAGGTTGTAATGTTTTGAACTTATTTATGTAAATATAGTTTTGTGTTAATAAAAATTTAAATTTACTATGGTTTTTATAAAGATTTGTGCTTTGAAAAGTCAATGTGACACCTCGGATTCGTATCCGGGTCGAGTACGGATTGGGGTGTTACAAAAACAATCATTCGAATATTATCACCGACCATACTACTCAAGTTGAAGGCTACTCAACTGTAATAACATGATGATTTAAATCAATGCTATTAGAAGTTTTCTGCACTTGTTTCTGCTTATCTAGCTCTTGTTTCCCATCCTTTTCGTTCTTGAAATGAGCTATAGTGGCTAATTCATGAACCGACTCCGAAATTTTCTCGGTATAAGCGAGTACATTATGCAGCAGTGAAGCAACCGTGGCCACTGCTAGAATCTCCACCACATCTATGTCCTCACACAACCGTGTTTTGAGCAACGAATTGAGTTTCTCGGTCGCATCCTTCACTTTCGCGATGTGAGCAAGATGAGAAGATGATGCACTCATTGTTTTGATTGCTGATGCTAATTCCTTCATGGCTTTCCCCGATTCCGAGCTTATTTCCGTGCATGTTGAAATTTTCCACAGGTTTCTAGTGAAGCCTGTACAAGTTGTTAATGACAATGTCCAAAATTCAGCAGATGTTATTAATATTTTGGATATGAAGTTTGCTTGATGTGTACCTGAACATCGAAGTCGAGGCAGCCATTAAGAGCTTCGACTCTGTAGGCACATTGTTGAGTGAGGCTCGCGACCTTCAGGTATTGTTTCCAGGGATGACAGAACTTGAATCGTCCATGTCGGAGTTCCCATCTAGCAGAATTAACCTGCGGTCCAAGACAAAATTTTATAAATTTATCTCGTAACATATAACATAAAATTTGACGCCGGGCATAAATTTTTTTTATCAAGTAGTTCTCCTCCTCACCAAAGATTCTTCTACTTGTTTTGAATTGAGTATGCTTTTATATCCTTGTAGTGATGCTTTGTTTGACTCCATTTCGCTTGATTTTGCGAAGTATTCATCCCCAGAACCTGCAAAATCACATTTATGTAAGTTCCTGTACAAAAGAATTGTTACATGGAATTCGAAGCTTGAACCAAGAGATTTTAACTAAACCCAATGACTTCATATAAGCTTATATAATATCAAAATTAGCCCCAAATATTCATTTTTATGATATATGTCTTGTCACCCAAAATCATCTGTCACCTAAAACAATAACGTATCATGTGTCGTCATCTAAGATGAATCATGGAGTGTGACACACCATAACTTGTAAGAATGTTGCAAGCTTTTCGAGATTGTTGGCAGCCAAGTTATGAAGTTCGTCGCCAGCCCAGACGGGGTAGATGAAAATGCAGACGAGAAGAGCAGTTAAGGCACCAATAAGAATGGTGGATACTCTTTTTATGCGCCATTTAAAGCACCTCTTCATCCCGACAACCCGAAACCGATATCAAGCAAAACGTCAATATGAATATGAGCAGTCCGTAATCGTATCTTGCCTTCATTCGTGGAAAGAATCGTATAAACGACACCGTTGTAGCTGTAAATATAAACCCAAAAATCCATTTCAGACTTCAGTTGTTATATTATAGGTCAATGAATGTTCAAAGAATGCGTAATGGAAAAATGTTTTGACTAAATAGTTATTGGCAAATGATAAAAATTTCTTTTAATAGTCACTGTGGTCCCTAATTTTTTTTTGAGCATTTTAGGCTCCAACATTTTATTTGGGAGAAAAGACTCATCCATTGATGAAAATTGTTAGTTAACAAACTATCAACACTCTAAAATAGATTTTTTTTTGTCTTGAAATGAAATGTCTTAGGCAAAAATAATCCAAATAAAAAGAATAAGGGTTATTTAGTGAAACGTTAGGAGCGTTTTTGCCTAAAAATGAAAAGTCCTTGAGAGCCAAAACACTATAGAATAAGGTTTCGTTTCTTTCTAAAATGAAATATTGAGACCAAAATGATCCAAGTAAAAAGAATAAAAGTTAAAATTGAATATTTAACCAAATGTTAGAGGTTTCCTTTACTTTAAAATGAAACGTTTATGAGCTAAAATAACTATTTATTTAAACGTTAGAGGTATTTTTTAGTATTTTTAGTTTTCCCATTTTTCTATATTTTTCTCTCAAAATAAAAGGTTAAAAATCAAAATGCTAAAAAATAAGAATTAAAACAATTATTTAATTAAATATAATTTTTTTTTTGTTCTTTAAAGTATGCATTTTATTTTGGACGTATTATTTTACCTAAAATGAACACAAAGATTCCCAGAAGTATTGGCCGAACTATGTCTCCAGGCAAGGTAGCTAAGTGGTGCGCTCCGAATCCCAATGCACCGGCTAGAAATGTTGCCAACCCCTTGTTTAATCCTTTTCCAAGGGTTGCTCCTGTCAAAACAAAATAACTAAACAAATTCACATCTATATTTCGACATGGTTGATTCATTCCATCCTAAGATTTAAATAGTGGTTTGTCACTGAAATGGTAGTTGTTATAGATTGGTTTTGGTGTCGTCTGAAATTATCATTGTACGACCGTGATAACTGCAATAATATATGTTATATTTGTAATTGTAAAAACGTAATAACATCGAAAATCCGACTACAATCGTAATTTAAATTCCTGATTACATCACTCTAGTACCGGAGAGGCTTACCTACATAGAACTCAAAGACGACGACCACGGTCAAAATAGCCCACATTGCAGAGTTTCCGAAACCAACATAGAGAGGATCAAAATAGTAGAAGAGGGAGACCAGTGTGACAGCTAACCCAAATTTAAACGAATGGAAAACTCTTCTAGGATCGTCTTGTGCTACTTTCTTTATCTTCCCCGGAAATTCAGCCACCTTTCTTCTTATTTTCACCGTCGTTTAAATATATTTATAACAAAATCTGATGAACGAAAACCGTTGGTGGATTCATATATTTATAAGTTGGTAATGCATGCTACTAGAGGACAAGAACCAAAAAGAAGGAACACGGAGCTCGGCATCTTAGGTTGTCAATTTGAAAGAACGATGTACCTAGAAATTTAAACCGACGGGGACTTCATTTAAAAGGAGACTTTCATTTGGGCTCGCTGAGGGTCCTTTCAACATGGACTACGTGGCCAAACCTCAGTATTTAAGTGACACAAAGATACATTTATTTTTATATTTAAACAAAATCAATAAGCTGTACTCATTCATTTATATTAGACAGTAACAACTGTTGAACAAGGGGGGGGAATCAGACAACGA